ATTCGAGCCGACAAGTTAAATTGACATTCTTAATTTAGAGTCTGAGCCACGGACTATCTGAATCGACGTGTTAAATTGACATCCTTAATTTTCAAACGAAATTAATGGAAAAATCTAAAATAATATTAGGTAAGAAATCACCAACAGAGGTATCCAACCAATAACAACAAATATAGAGGTGCACCGTGCACTAGCATGGATTTTGCTTTATTTGATTCTCTCTCTCAACCATTAATTAGTATATTTATATTTTAATTTAGAATATTTTTACACCGATATTAAAATGGAAGGTACACAATTAAGACAGCATGACAACCATGGCCGGTAGTTATGACCTGTGACTCGGATGGTATGACTCACCCCACCAACACAAAGAAATAGTAAATCACCAAATATTCAATTCAATGCACATCACCAAACTACACTTCGTCGTGCATATTTATGTTAAAACGTCTTATCTTATTCTTCCCAACTTCTACCTCTCTCGTATTCAATCAAATTAATAATTCAAATTTGTGTCGTTTCGACTTTATTTACTTCATGTTTGTTTATGCTTCTTCTTGAGAAGAAATATCAATTTATCGACGTAAAAAGAAAAAGGAAAAAAAAAGAGGCAGTCGTTGCACGTGACATATATATGACAAATTAGTATTATAGTTTTTTATTGACTTATGTATCAAATAGCCACTTATCATGTGTCTACTATGTAGGATGACTGTTATAGTGAGCGATAAGGAATATCACGTAAAATTTACCAAAAATGTGAAGTGAGAGATGGGACCCTCCACATAGACATAGTGTGGCTGTGTTTGGTTGGCCGACGTGGACCACGGAACACGCGAGTGGTTAATAATTGGTATTTAGCGTATTCTAGCAAAAAATAAAACCCCAACACATCATCTTTTGTCCTCTTCTCTCTCTAACCGCCGACGCCTTTGTTTGCTCTCACTAATATTATTTAATATTTATTATTATGAGTCAGCATCCAGTACATCACACACTAATATTTTTTAATATTTATTATTATGAGTCAGCATCCAGTACATCACACCTGGATTGCCTACACAATAAATAGCCAATCAAAACACAAATATTACTATTGTTTTGTGAAAAAAAATAATAAAAAATATTTCTATATTTTTAAGATTATTAATAATAATTAATTTTATTTAACTTAACAAGCATGCTTTTTGGCGCATAGGCTTTGCATCTTTTGATGTCTTTTACGTGTAATCAGCACGAAACCGACGTAGTACATGCGACAATATTCTTATAACCACATTAAAATATTTTCGTTGTGCATAAAACAAAGTAGTTTAATTTTATTTCTTTTAATATTGCTTAAATATTCCCCACACTGATTGTATGAGTTAAAACTTAATTTTTATTATTGAATTTCACGTAATAAACCATTTTTTTCTTTTACTATTCAATTGCTAAATATTCGAAGCTTTCTTAAGTCCCTAAATTTAGGAAAATTTGTATGTCTAATCGATCAATTGTTAACATACTCTATTACGGATACAACATAATATCGATAATCGAGCACTCTTGATATAAAGTACAAAAAAACAAGTGAAGGGAAAGAGAAGACTTAAGATTCTAAAGCAAAATTTTCCATCCATCCATCCATTTTGGAGTAAAAGAAAACAAAAGGGAGAATCTTTGAAGAGTAGAATATTGGGTAATTAGCACATAACATCTTTATCTTTTACAATTATCGAGGAAAATGTTTTTATCTTTTTTTTTTGGGCATTTTCACCATATTTTCACATTTCATTGCGTAAAATGCAATTTTCATACATTTTTTCAATTAAAAACTGTGAAATGATGAACATGCTATTCTCTTTAAATAAAAGAAAAAGAAAAAGAAAGAAATAATTGCAGTCATAGTTTCAAAATTTTAAAAAAAAATCCAAACGAGTTCCAAATAAATTATTATAAGTGTAATTAGCATATAATATCCCTACATTTTATTACCATTGTGAAAATAGTTCACACCTTTCATTTTTAGCATTTTCACAATTTTGATTGTGTAAACTATAATTTCTATCTATTTTCATCCAATTTTTCAATAAAAACTTTGAAATGACAAATATACCATCATATTTAAATAAAAATAATAAAGAACTAATTGAAATCACAGTTCCAATTTTTTTTAAAAAAAGTGTAAACGAATCCCAATAAATTATGAAAAAATTACATTAAAAAATTTAAAAAGTGCAAACGAGTCCAAAATAAATGACGAATATACCATGATATTTAAATAAAAAAATAAAGAACTAATTGAAATCACAGTCCCAATTTTTTTAAAAAAGTGCAAACGAGTCCGGAATAAATTATTTAAAAAATTAGAAATTATTTTTTTTAAAAAAAAGGCAAATAAGTCCCAAATAAATTATTAAAAATTAGAAATTTCGAATTTAGATTATTAAAAAATTAGAAATTTTAAAAAAAAATTTAAAATGCAAACGAGTCTCGAATAAATTATTAAAAAATTAGAAATTAAAATAATTAATTTTCTTTAATTTGCTTTCTTTCTTTACTTTTTATTTAAATTGAAGGGTATATTCGTCATTTTATATCTTTATCGAGAAATTAGATGAAATTTGATAGAAATAATGGTTTGCGCAATCGAAAATATAATTAATGATGAAAATGTCAAAAATAATTATAGGTATGGACGTTTTTCATAATAATAATGAAATGTAGGGACATTATGTTCTAATTACTTTTTTTAATAACTTATTTGGGACTTATTTACACTTTTTAAAATTTTTTGGAACTATAGTCACAATTAATTCTTTCTTNAATGCACATTAGTCGTGCTTTGGCTTGTAGTACATGCAATCAAAACAAGTCAATATTGTTGTAACAACATTAAAATATTTTCGTTGTGCATAAAACAAAGTAGTTTAATTTTATTTCTTTTAATATTGCTTAAATATTCCCCACACTGATTGTATGAGTTAAAACTTAATTTTTATTATTGAATTTCACGTAATAAACAATTTTTTTTTTTACTATTCAATTGCTAAATATTCGAAGCTTTCTTAAGTCCCTAAATTTAGGAAAATTTGTATGTCTAATCGATCAATTGTTAACATACTCTATTACAGATACAACATAATATCGATAATCGAGCACTCTTGATATAAAGTACAAAAAAACAAGTGAAGGGAAAAAGAAGACTTAAAATTCTAAAGCAAATTTTTCCATCCATTTTGGAGTAAAAGAAAACAAAAGGGAGAACCTTTGAAGAGTAGAATATTGGGTAATTAGCATATAACGTCATTATATTTTACAATTATCGAGGAAAAAGTTTTTATCTTTTTTTTTTTTTTGCATTTTCACCATATTTTCACATTTCATTGCGTAAAATGCAATTTTCATACATTTTTTCAATTAAAAACTGTGAAATGATGAACATACTATTCTCTTTAAATAAAAAATAAAGAAAAAGAAAGAAATAATTGCAGTCATAGTTTCAAATTTTAAAAAAAAGTCCAAACGAGTTCCAAATAAATTATTATAAGTGTAATTAGCATATAATATCTCTACATTTTATTATCATTGTGAAAATAGTTCACACCTTTCATTTTTAGCATTTTCACAATTTTCATTGTGTAAACTATAATTTCTATCTATTTTCATCCAATTTTTCAATAAAAACTATGAATGACAAATATACCATCATATTTAAATAAAAATAATAAAGAACTAATTAAAATCACAGTTCCAATTTTTTTTAAAAAAAGTGTAAACGAATCCCAATAAATTATGAAAAAATTACATTAAAAATTTTAAAAAGTGCAAACGGGTCCCAAATAAATGACGAATATACCATGATATTTAAATAAAAAAATAAAGAACTAATAGAAATCACAGTCCCAATTTTTTTAAAAAAGTGCAAACGAGTCCGAAATAAATTATTTAAAAAATTAGAAATTATTTTTTAAAAAAACAAACGCAAATAAGTCCCAAATAAATTATTAAAAATTAGAAATTTCGAATTTAGATTATTAAAAAATTAGAAATTTAAAAAAGAAATTTAAAATGCAAACGAGTCTCGAATAAATTAGTAAAAAATTAGAAATTAAAATAATTAATTTTCTTTCTTTCTTTACTTTTTATTTAAATAGGAGGGTATATTCGTCATTTTATAGCTTTATTGAGAAATTAGATGAAATTTGATAGAAATAATGGTTTGCGCAATCGAAAATGTAATTAATGATGAAAATGTCAAAAATAATTATAGGTATCGACGTTTTTCATAATAATAATGAAATGTAGGGACATTATGTTCTAATTACTTTTTTAATAACTTATTTGGGACTTATTTACACTTTTTAAAATTTTTTTCGTACTATAGTCACAATTAATTCTTTCTTTTTCTTTTTTTGTTTTATTTAAATAGAATAGTATATTCATTATTTCACAGTTTTTAATTGAAAAAATTGATAAAAATAACATTTTACGAAATGAAATGTTAAAATAATGGTGAAAATGCCAAAAAATAAAAGGCAATGACATTTTTCACAATAATAGTAAAATGTAGAGACGTTATGTGCTAATTGCTCTACAATATTAATACGTGGTTCTATTATAAGGCTTCTATACCTGCCTGCACCTGATAAAACTCATAATTGCGCATTTGTACTCCGATAAATAAAAAAACTGAAAATGGGAAAAGAAAAGTATTCATCAAAAACATACCCTAAAAAACTTGCAGAGATAGAAAGGAGGAGAAGAGTGGATTAAAGATTCGTTCACCCGTCTCTCTCTCGTCCTTTTTCTATCTGTTTTCTTCTACCTTAATCTCTCTTCCTTCTTTGCTTTCCCTGAGCAAAGAAGAGAAGGGGGAACTTTAATTTTGGGTGTGCATTTCTTCCTACACGCAATAGAGAGAGACAATAATTGTGTGCATTTGTTGGTTTTGAAGCGGTTGTTGTTGGTGGGTTATTCAGCATAAAGAAGGCAAGAAAGGGAACAAGGGAAAAATGTTGGTTGCACACAGTTTTGATTTATGGCAAAAGGATACTTTCTTTTCTGCAGCAGAGGAGGTCCAACAATCTGCCGATATGTAAGTGTGTGATAAATTATAATTATTTTACCCATTTCTATTTTTTGTCTTTTCTTTTTCTTGTATTCCGATCTGTGTTTGATTGATTTTGTTTGTTTGTGCCTTGTGTTGGATAAATATTAAATCCTTTTTTTTTTTTGGTTATATAAGGAATTTTGCGTTTAATTTCCTTTTCTTTATATTTATTTATGTGGTTTTCGTTTTGGCTTTGAAAATTAAGTGGGTTTAAGGAGGTTCAATGATTTGATGAAACCTTCTGTTTGTGAATTTCTCCTTGTTCTGTTCTTTTTCTTTTGCTTTTATGTAGGTATGGTTATTTGTGTGTTTTCTATCGTATCTATTGGGTTTTTCTGCAAATTGTATTTGCTTAATAATTGAGTAGTTTTGCTTTCAATTCGAGTTTTTTTTTTGGTTCTAACTTTGGACTTGCGAGGAGACAGGAAGAAATCATAGAAAGTACATATCTTCATAGAAATTTCCATGGTTCTTGGCGACACCTAATGTTGATTCACCAGTGAAATTAAGTCCTAAATAGCCACTTCCAGTGATATCTTCTTTTGACATTTTTGCTTTGGCAGAATGGAATCTGCTTACAGAACATGGCTCAGAGCAAGGAAAGAAGGGGAGGCAGCTCAAAATTTAGATGAACGTAGTAGAGAACTTCAAATGGCTTTAGGCACTGCAAAATGGCAGGTTGATCACCTCTTTCATGTAACTGAGTTTTGTACTTCATTTTATCATTTCTGGTATCAATAATTCATTGGATATAGAAATAATGGACACTAAGTGAGTTGATTCTTGGTTTTGGCTTCAATCCTTCTGTAAGTTTTTCTCTAATATGGGAAGATTGACGCTAGTTTCTGCCTTTTTTTCAACATAAACCATCCAGTTCCATTATGAGTATATTGTCGCAGTTGGTTTTTAGTTCTTGAAGTTTGTTCTGAATCATTTTTCTTTCTTCTCCTCTTTTTCTTTTTCCTCACAATAGTTGGAAGAGTTTGAAAGGGCTGTTAGACTGAGCTACAGAAATCATGCTGATGATGTTACGAAGACCAGACACAGGCAATTTGTTTCTGTTATAGAAGATCAAATTTCCCGTGTCGAAGCAGCATTAAAAGAATCATATACTGTGGATAGAAACCAACCTTTTAGCTGGATAAACTTGGATGAAGAAGAACGTGACGACTTAGCTTTGTTTCTTTCTGGAACTCCTGATAACCCAAGTACGAAGCTTGCAGAACCGGCAACTAGTCCTTTTAAAGAGAAAAACCATACAAGAAAAGACGTTGGAATCGACTCTGAAGTTGGTTTCAAGGCACAAATTCCAATTAAGACAAAGGGTTTTGAAGAAATTTTCACAAGTAATGTGGAAGCCAACTGCTTCACAGAGCCAGAAGAGGAAGAAATTCCCGAGGCAAGGGATGAACCTAGTTCTCGAAGAGCACGGAATTTGCCAGGAGTGAGTGCTTTGGAGATTGTAATTGATAATGACAACGAACAGAGGAATGCATTGGTTGAAGCAACACCCAAAGAGAAGGGTTCCAAACCTTATTTTTGGAGATCAAGGTGTGAAGACCATCCTCAAGCAAAGGGAGGAGTGTTAACTTACACCCATCTGAAGATGATCAACTGCATAAATCAGGTTAATACTATGATATCTTTATGTTGTTCTTTTTTTCCCTATCAAACTTACCTAACTATAGGAGTTTATATGAAAAATTTAGAGACTTATGTTGTGGTCTATAAATCTCTTTCTATTATTTATTTATTTTCATTTTTAGACTTGCAGTAAATCTGAACGAGTTTATTCTCTTTTCTCATGTTTTTGGTCACTGAATACTTCAAACTCTGAATGTTTCTATGTAAAGGTCTCTTTACTTTTCGACTTTTATTTGTAAGGTGGATAGTCTTCCTAGAGCTGTTCATGGTCTTGTACCTCCTTTGGCTCAGTTTCATTAAATTCTTTATATATAAGTAGATTTTTTTATTTGGTTTTGCTTATATAACATCTGGTGCATTTCCACATGGTTTTCAGCTGTTCAAACGAACTCCGAGAAGTCAGAGGCAACAACAAATTTCTCCAACGTTGCCTGTCAATTCCATTCGATTCATACTTGCTTTGATGCTAACCATTTTCTTAGTTGGTAAGCTTTTTTCTCAAATTAATATATACCGAAAATTATTGTTGGCCGTTGGGAAGAGCAAATATATTATGATTAGTTACTCATCAGGCTTAAGAAAAAAGGGTTTTCTTGATTCTGAAGAACAGATTTTAATTATACAAGTTAATAACTTGGGTTTGCGATAAGGTGTAAAATACACATGCTTGTGACAAGTAGTTTAAATCATAAAAAATATATGAATTTGTCCTACTATTACTAGTATTATAAAGTGGCTTTTTTATTGTCGAAATAAACTCAATCGGATTTATATTTTTTTATTAATTATTTCTTGATTTGTTTCATTTTTGTAAATGGATTTATTCATAATTATTTTTGTCCATTCAAAAAATATTATTTTCTTTATTCTGGGTATATAAATGATAGATAAAAATATATTTGTATATATTCTTTCAATGAATTTTTTTTAGTAAAAGGGGTGATTTACATATTAATCGAGCGTTTCTTCTTTTTAATATTTGCCATT